GCCTCCATTCACAGAGACTGGACAATTTAATTGCAGAGGTCAGAGATGTGTAATTTAGGAGAGGAAAGCCCAGATCTGCCAAATCTATTCTACCTCAGTCTTATCCTCTCCAGTGACACTTGAGATTTTGGCTGTGAATGCCCCCAAAGTAATCCATGCACCTATCAACTGAGATCTCATTCCTCATGCTAAACTCATGTACTGGATAATTTAGGATAAATCTGGGAGTGTGCACCTGATGTTTCCACCATGTATAATTTTTCTATACAGAATATAAATTGTAGCCAGGTAAATACTTGAGCTGTGGTGAACTTGAAACAACCTAGCAAGGACCAGAGAGAAAGGAGCATTTCTGTTGGCAAGTTTCTGTCATTAGGAGCAGCTGGCAACTAAACAGCAACTAATCATTAAACTTCATAGGCCAAATTCTTCCTTACAGCTATTCAACTGAAACTGCTCCATTAGAAAATAAACAGGCCTTGTGCTGCGGAGCTTGACCAGCTCTAATTTCAGTTTTGCAGCTAGTAGTACTTTTCTCTCCAAAAATGCTTAGTAGATTTTTTCATGCATTTCCATCACCCACACAACTACAAAACCAACATGAAGTTCTGCAAAATAGTACCTTCTGTTCACCAGAGCCTCTGATTCAGATAGCAAAATTACTGTATCGTATAGCTACCCCCTATTTCAAAAGTAAATTGAAGATAATAATTTCATTTCATTTCACAGCTGGCAAACCCAAGAGCCCACAGAGAGAACTGGTTTCTATAAATATTCATGTCTCTAAATGCCAACTAAAACTTGGCCTAAAAGAGCATAATGAATTAAGGAACAGCTCAGCAAAAAGACATCCTTTCTATCTAGTTCACCAGCAGGTCTGCTGGCCCTTGGACCAGGAGTTCCACTTTGACTCTCAGCTCTGGAGCACGCTGTCTGCTCTTTGAATATCAGCATAGTTTTTAACTACCAAAGCATCTCTGTAGAATCCTGAAGCACACTGGTCAGTTCTGCCCTCTGTTTCAAGCAGAAGGAGTTGTGCTGAGACATTTAGTTCAGTTACCTTGAGAAAGCAAGATGAATCACACCTCCTTTAACTCCACACACCCAGCAGGCATCTGAGACAGTCACCTGATGCTCTGCTTATAGTCAGTACAAGGAGCACAATATCTCCAGAGGGTCCTTTGCCTGATCTATTTTCAAATGAGGTGAATCCCCCTGCAAGAAGAGTATAGCAACTAACTTAGACTTGCATGTCTTTTTCACATCTAAGGGTGTAAACTTCAAGGAAGTCTTATACACATTGCTAAACATTTCACTGCAGCTGACTGACAAACCTTTATATATCACTGCTGTAAAATATTTTCAGTGTAATGGGAAATACTTCCTGTCAAAAAAGCACCCAAAATCTGAAGGATTTTTGGGGTTGATCAGAGTAAAAACTCTTTAATTTTATGGTTTCCCTTCAGAAATTGTATCTCTATAGAACTGATGTATAAGAAAGCTATACATTCCAATAATCTACTTAAGGTTATTTTCTATTTAAAAAGCACTGTTTGTTTCTATGTTTCTCTAAGGAACACATTGTTCTGGCATTGATGTCTGCTATTAACTCTTTTAGCATTGTTCTACAATGTTTATTCTTTTTCTTGTATTTTTTCTTCTGTCAATATATAATAATGATAATGCTAAATTTGAAAATGGGTTGCCAAGTTGGTCAAGAGATTATATCCTAAATTTACACTAGCAAACAGCATAAAACCTTACCAGTAGGAGCTGAGTGGTAGAGTGAAATACTTAGTATTAAGGGCACAACTTTCACAGTACCTTTCTTGTGGTTTTTACTTACAATTATCTCCAAAATGATCCTGCAGACTGACTTTGCATTAGCACTCGGAGTACATTAAATGAGCTTCTGCTCATTTTTATCCCAAACAGAATCAGTTTATGTGCATCTTTTTTAGATGTAGAGATGCAGGACATTCATTTTAAAAGTGCATTCCTGCTCAAAATAATGTGCTCACGTATTTTAATCTATAGTTTTTTTCAGAAAAGAAATCTGGAACACTGATGTATGTTCCTTGGTATTGCCATAGGACTGCATCTTCTAAATTTTTTCAATCACAGTTTCTGAAATTTTACTCCCCTTTCAGTTTAGAAAAAAATAGGATGTTCCACACCATTCACCTTATTTGAACATTTAAAAGACAGTGAAAATTGATGGCAGAAGTCAATAGGGGGATACATAATCCCTTCCTGGGAAGCAGTCTCACCTACATAGACACCTGTAGATGGATTTCTGGCCCTGTTTAAGATCCTGGTAAACCTTTCACCACCTACAAGGAGCAAAGATTTAATCCCTGAAGTTTCCAGATATACAAGCTGAGTTGTAAAGCTTCTAATTTCCTAGGTCTCAAATTCTTGTGGTCATAATTACAGCTATAGTCTTGAAGACAGCACATGCCTATACCCAGCACATACAATGACAGGCATTCCTTCCTTGAGGTTAACCACTTGTGAAGTTATTACATCCATTAGTAGATTTCACAGTCCTGTAAGAAAACATCTGTGATTATGGACTCCAAAGAAATGTACTAAGACATCTGAGGACAAAATAATCTGGTTTTGCAGTTGAATACTTTCTTTTTTTTCTTTTTTTCTTTTTTTTTTGTAATGCAACTAATAGCTCAGACAAATTAGCCAAGAACTGCCTTTTGAAGGTTGTCCTTTCCTAGATGACCTGTGGAGTGAGTTTAAGTGATTGTCTTAGATAAACACAAATTTTAGATGGCAAAGATAATGTTAGAAGACTGCCACCACCACAAGAATCCTTCTAGTTCTATAGCTTAGTTCCTAATATCTTTTTGGTTTTCCAGCTTCCAAAGAGAAAGCTGATGGTGTTAATAGAACTTCAAAACTGGTTCTGTGAGCTTACTGCACAAAGCCTCAGTGCAATACCTGGGTTAAAGGCTGCATGAAGAAAGGGTACTACCAGGAGCCAAGTGTCAGAGCAGGAGAATCTACAAGCCATGACCTTACAGCTGATGCCACCTTGGAAACTGTCTCATTGACTGGAAAAGTCACTGCTTCAGGGGCAACAGAAGCCTTACAGAGCAAAACATCTTGAGAGGTTTGTAACACACTTAGATACCACTTCTCATCTTCGCTTGCTGATGCCAGACTTGAGATAGCTGAAAATTACCCACTCTATAAACATGATGTATTTAGCCCACTCACAGTATGGTTTTAACCCACACACAGTCTGGGTTTCTCAACCAGGGAACTGTACCAGCTGCTAGTTCTTAACAAGATAGGTGGCAAGGCAGCACAAACAAGGACTCAACACGGGGAATTGGCCACTACTGAGATGCTGAGATGTAGCTGTTAGCTTTTTACCTTGCATGCCTGGGACTGTAATCTAAACCAACCACACAGAGTATTAATTATGCCACTGATGTAGTGAGGGATACAAGGAACTCAAGGAAAGCTATGCAGCTAAAGACCAGCGTATGCTGTTCTGTCCTTAATGATAATGGACGACAGAAATTATGAGAATATACAACTAGTCAGAACTGAGATACACTGCATCATGTGAGAAAAAAATATCTGACTCTTTTCTCTTACTGCAAAGTTTAATGGTCATGCTCCTGATGACACTGATATTTTAAAAATAATTTAAAAGCCAAAACTATAAAAGAGCAGAGATCGCTAAAGTTGCCAGCTGTAATCCTATATATATGGAAACCTGTATGTTAGCTCTGCTAGGCAGTTGCTATTACTCACTTTGTACTTCAAAGCATCATAGGAATACAATGAAAAGCCATTAATAATATATAGAAAAGGTCAAAGATTTACCTGAAAAAAAAAAGCATGACATTACAAAGTAATTCATAGTGAACATTGCTTTAAATTATAATCAATCAAATCTGAAAATTCCCAGAGAAGAGACAACCTAGCCATTAGGAAACTAAGTATTTAGCAAAGTCCAATGTGTTTCATAATCCTGCATAATGCATCTCATAGAGATGTGGGAAACTGCTCTTTAAGCTTTCTGGTGGTAACACAAACTTTATTAAAATAAGCCTGTCTATCTGGACAATATTAAGGCGAAGTCCAGATCTCACTTGTCTGGGTAATGCAAGGTATGTTTTCATCACCCTGACAGAGAAAAGAAAAAACAAAATCAGTCACATGCCAGAATTAGCGAACATGATCATTTTCCAAGCAACCTGTAGCCTGAAATTTACTTGTCCAGACTAGTAATTTGCAAAATACACGTTTCACAGAAGACAAGAATGATTCATATCTAATTCACGAGTAAAGAAATGCCAATGTTTGCCAAATTTTTGCCTTGACAATACCAAAAGTGCCCTCAAACCACTACTGCAAAATTATCCTAAGGGTATTTCCCAGCAAAAGGCACAACTAAAGTATGAGAAGACAGGAGCTACGATCTAGTCATCACCCAATCTAGTCAAGTAGTTGAGCATTTTTAAAACTTTTTTGTCTCTAGAAACCTTAAGTCTCAAAAAGATTAAGCCATGGGAATGAAAAAATCAGAAAAGTTGAGGCTGATTACAACAAATTAATCCACAAAACAATTAAGAAAACTCAAAAGAGATGCAGCACAGGAAGAATACTTAACACATGCACTAAACAAATGGGCAGAGAAAAGGCTGTCTGATCGTATATCAACACAAAAATCCACTTTGCGTGGAAATATGCAATTTGAGCATTTTAAACCTACAACTTACACAGCGCATTCAAACGCGAGGAGGGAAAGATGAGCGAGCGATTTTTGTTTGCCTTGCAACATCTGAAGCGCAGAAAAGCGTTTCAAAAGCCGTACAATTCAGCGGACCCGAGCAAGAAAAAAACCCAAACCATGAGTAATTCCACAGAGCAGCTGAGGGGTAGGTGGATACGAGCAGCTTCCCCGCGCTGCTGCTAATGAGCATTAACCCCTCCGCAGCCCAGAGCCGCCCGCAGGAGCACAGCCGCACATGCCGAAGGGTGCTGGGCTGCCCCAACACGTCCGCGGGCCCTGGGGGAGGCTGCGGGCACCGAGGGGAACGGGTCCCACTCGGTACACAGGGTCCCGGCCGGTGAAAGGGCCGGAGCGAGGAGGGAACCTCGGGCAGCCCCGCACCGCGGGCACCGAGGGGCAGGCGGCGGCCGCAGCTCCTCCAGCAGGGCCACCTGCCTTCACTTCAGGGCGCCCCGGCCGCGGTTTCTGGTGTGCCCCGAGCCGCGGCCCCCCTTTCCCCGAGGCTCCGAAGGCAGAGCACGGGGCGCCCCCTCCTCCCCGCGGGCCACGGCAGGCCGGCCCCGCGCACCCCACCCCTACGGCCGGCCCCGCGCAAACACCTACGGGCACCCCTCCGGCCGGCCCCGAGCACACCTACCGCCAGCCCCGAGCACACCCCTACGGGCACCCCTACCGCCAGCCCCGCGCAAACACCTACCGCCAGCCCCGCGCACACACCTACGTGCACCCCTACGGCCGGTCCCGAGCACACCCCTACGGCCGGTCCCGAGCACACCCCTACGGCCGGCCCCGCGCACACACCTACCCCCGGCCCCGCTGCTCCGCGGGCGCTGCGGCCGCGCTCCCGGCGCGATCGCCTCCGGCCGGCCCGGCCCGGCCCGCCCGCGCCGCCGCCATTGGGCGCTCCCCGGCCGCGAAGGCGCCGCATTGGCCGGGCCCGCCCGCCCCGCCCCGCGCGGAGCCGCCCCCGACCCGCTGCCCCACCCCGGGCCCCGCTGCCCCCCCGGCCGGTCCCGCACTCCCGGCATTGATCCCGTCCCATTTTCTTAGGGCCCGCTTCTAAGTACGATTCAAAGACAACGGACTTTGCCGTCTCTGTTCACCCACGGGCAAAAATAAATAGCAATGTACAAAATAACAATCGATAATGCAAACAAAATATTCCTCCGTTTGGGGTTATTCAACAGGCGTGCGTAAATACAGCGCTGTTTATTTGTAACTGGTGAGTTCGTGTACACACCTTTAACACCAATTAACAGGCACCTCACTTCTTTTGTTCGGTCCTGATGAATTTTGTGGATTATGGATTAAGCAGGCATAAATTAATAGAATGTCTATGAACCAAATTGTGCTTAAGCTGTTAAACTGTAAGAGTATTACAAACCTAATAAAATAAATTGCATGGTAATAGTAATCTTATTTCTGCCTTTAAATAGTTCAGAGAGCAATTTGCATATGAAAATGTCTTTATGGTGAAATTAACTTCTAATCCCAGTAAATTTCCAACGCTCCAGCTGAAAGGAAGCTTATGCAAAATGAATATGTACATCATTAGCTCAAACATAAGTACAGATGTGTACATCTACAGCCATTAGCAGACTCAGAGAATGCCTCTGGAGAGCTGAGGGAGTAGCAAGTCACCAAAGAGCCTCCTAGAAAATTCAACCTTGCAAGCTGAGAAATGTTATTGACCATTTGCAATAAACATGATAATAAAAGCCTTAATTAGTAATGAGGACTGTCTGTAAAAAGGAAAACAAAAAGAAGGTTGCAGTTTTATTCTTCTCTGGGTGAACTAAGAGTTTTAAAGAGTGCAAAACCACTGGGAAATCTCAAATGCAAAGCGCAAGATAACCATGTAATTACAACTGATGTTACACCCAGCAGCTTAGCATGTCTGGCTCACCCGATTGTTTCCAAGGGGCTTTCAAAGGGGGTCCTGTTGCAGAGCAGTGTGGGGACAAACATTACGGAGAACACTCGAACCGAATCCCAAAGCCCCCGTGGCACAAGCGGGGGACATCGCACGTCCCAAAGCACCGACACGAGTGCCAGCTAGAGGTGGCTGCGGGAAAAGAGCACGCAACTCCCTCATTCCCCAAACTTGCTGATTCTGTCTTACCCAGCAGTAGAAGATGTTGATTGCCCAGACAAAGCCAGTCACATGGAAGATGTTTAGTTGAATAATCTGCCCATGGGCCCAAATGGGTTTAGTCTGGCTGTCAGACTCGTTTACACGTGTACAGGGTAAATTCAACAAGGATGTGGATAGTTCTACTCAGGTAAAACTGGTGTCTTTGTTTCTTCTCAGGATTGTTTTATGAGCCAAAAGAACTACAGATTAGTTTTCCAATGGTTTCCTTTTATCTTCCCCATCTTTAATAAACCCAGGATCCAGAATTACATTATTGACCTCTGGTGTACTGTACTATGAAAGATCCTGGCTGGAAAGAGACTTGAAGGACATCAATCCTTCCCTGGTATTAGTCAAGTTCTGAACCCCATTTCTTTTTTTACTTTTTCCTCTTCTTTGTTTTCTGAAGAAAAGTAAAAGCTACTACATAGTAACTTTTCACAACAGTATTTGAACTTATAGTCACAAAGGCTTGTGACAGCTACAAATGCTGTCACAGTGCAACAGCTGCAGTGGCTGCTGGATCTCTCATTGCTAAAGCAAAAGCATGAAATGTCATCAATCAGGTTGCAATGACCAGAAATATATTTTCCATCTTTGCTTTCTTTTCACTCCAGAGCATATTTACTTACAGCCTTTAGATCAGCCCTTAAGAGCTGAGGAAAGGGATGTTTCCTCATTTAAGATATCATTAAAGGAAAAGGGCTTGCATAGAATATATTGCTTTTTAAGCACTTCTCCTCTTCTATGCAGATTAACAGGCTTAAATTTGCTCTAGGATCAATTACATTTTCTGATATTAGGTAAATTGAAGTTCCTGTATTAAACATCCTTTTAAAAAGGAGTGGGACAGAGTTGGGGTAAGAGCAAAAACATGTTACAACATTTGATTCTCTTACATTATTTATTCCATCCAAATTACAACATCCTTACCACAACATCACACAACTCTGTTTACTATTGCTATTCTGTTTGGACTTGCAAGAAATTTTTGCTTTATATTTCTGAAGTTCTTTTACTAGTAAGATGTGGAATGGAAGGAGTAGCAGGTAACATACCTGATAGAGGTTCTTATATTTTCCTGAGTTTTCTCAGAATCAAAACCACAGAAAACACTTTTGGTCAGCCCTGCAGTGGTCAGGCAGTTGAACTTGATGGTCATTACAGGTCCTTTTTTGACTTGATGGCCATTACAGGTCCACTGAAATATTCTATTACATCAGAACATCAAACCCAAAATTATTCTATTTAAATAAGTATATTTAATTTCTGGTTGAACATTTGTGTTCCTACAACTGAAAGAGAAGTTAGAATATACTTGGGCATTTATCGCCACCAAAGTAAAGACATAAGGGGAAATAAAAAATGTTAAAAAAAAATCAAACCTACTCCAGAGAGTCTGATTTGCCTACCTGAAATAGTTTGGGTTTGAAGAATAAAGATTATATTCTTCCATTTTCTAGAATATGACAATATTAACCCTAAAAATATAGCATTCTATTATTGATATTCTGACTGATGTAGAAGATGTATTTATGATACAACTTTACTGGGTTAGAGCATGTGAAATCATAACTATAAACACATGTACTGAGTAACTAAAAGCTAGAATGATCCCAATTCTAATTTATTTTGAATATACACATAACCTGACTTTTTCTTCTTTCAACTTGACAGCTAGAGTTCTTAATATTAATATTTCATTATAAAGATATTAATAATTCATTATATCCTGGAAAATGATGCTTTTTTATTCCAATACAAAACCATGATTCTCATGCAAGCTTTACTGCAAATCTAATTAAATTTGTCAGTTAACAGAATTCAATATATTTCATCATATTAAATGAGGCAGTGTGACTTAACCCTTAGTTGTATGCCAACAGAGGCTCCACTCAGAAGTGTACAGAAGCACTTTGAGATTTTCTTTACCTTTTCTTTTCTTTACCTTCCACAGTTAAGTCTGTACTTCATATTTCTTTATACTGTATCACAAAGTAGTCTCACAGGAGTGCTACTGCTCAGCCAGTGAGCTGATATTGACACACAGGGCAGTAAAAGAAAAAAAAAAGTGTGGTGCCAAAAGACTGTTTGCTTAGCTCCCTTACCTCAGACCGTGTGCACACACCTGTGTGGTCTTTGCTCCAGCTACCACAGCCCAGCCTGGAAGATCACATCCTTCAGGAGAGATTTAACTGCACACCTCAGTAATGGCAAGATTAGATTTAAACAAATATTGCTGGGACAAATGCACTATTTCCAGCATGGCAGACCATCACCTTCACCTCCCCTTCACATGCAATATTTTTCCCACAGAAGGGCATTTCTCAATGACCAGACACCCTTGTTTTGCCATCTATCAGCAAACCAAATTACCAGTATCTGCAGAGTTGTTCTGCTGCAATCTGAGCAACTGAAGAGTTTGTAGAATAGCAGTGCCAGGAGTGCAGTGGCTAGTGGAGAAATTTGGAAGCATCAAATTCTCAATATAAGCATAGAGAGAGCTAAAGGCTTATCAAACATACTAATTTTATGTATTTTGAAAACTTTCTTTTCTGTGGCTGCAAGAAAGTCTTTATGATTTGGCATTTAGAAATCCCAAGGAGACAGTAGAAATTAATATTTTATTCCGTGTTTAAATAACAAAGAGTATTTTAAAATGACAGAGAATACCGTTTGTTCTAGCACCTTTCACAGTGCCAAATGGGATTAATGAGACACTAGATCTGAAATCTTAAAGGGGGTTTATTTTTAGTTCACTTTTCTATTAATTTTAGTAGTATTTACCATAGAGTTTTTTAGTATTCAGCCTAAGGATTATCTGCACACTGTTTACTCTAAACATGAGCTTTATGATGCTGAATTAGTATCACCAGAAACATTTAGAAGTATTTCGTATCAATCTACCTTTTGGAACTGAACTAAGAATGACAGTGTACTGAAGAGTAAACTCTTTGGGGCCTGTAAACACAAACATAATAATTAGGCCAATTTTTTTCAATTACATGTGCAAAACACATGAAGTATTTCTTGTGTCTCTATGGTGCTATTCACTGAATATGAAAGATAGGGTAGGCAAACAGTTAATATACAATGCTCAGTTTGTTAGTTGAGAGATTACATAAATGAAGAAATCCTTCTTTCTTGCCCTATTTTGATAAGTTCCTACTTACTTGCACCCTTTGCCTTCTAAAAAAAAAAAAAAAAAATCAGACTCCTAGTAGGGAACTCAGTAAGTTGTTAGTTTAGCAGAGAGGCAGGAAAAGCCAACACAGCTGTGTGCAGTGAGATCATCACATTTATCTCACTCAGGCTGAAATCTCTTACTAGAGTCACCTCCCTTCTTTGCAATGTTTCCCAGATTTCAATAACCAAGTCAAACACAGAATAATTTGTAAAAAATACAAACTCTTTAGTTATTCAATTACAGCTGAACATTAACATAACACTGGATTCCAGAAGAAAATGTATACGTATTTTGGTGTGGCTATTCTTCCTAATGGACTTCTTAAATACAACCTGGAAAGAATTAACTCAAGTCCTACTGATCTCACTGCTCCAGTAATGAAGACCACAAAATCACTTTGGAGAACTCACCAACATGTAGACTGTCAGGCCTTTAAATTCAAAGCTGGATGATTGTTCAAGAAGTATATTTTTTATAATGCAAAGTTATAACTCTTAAACTGAACATTCCACATATTTCTTCAGTAATTTTAACATCAGCTATAATAATAATAATGACTTTAAAGTTAATGAAGTGTGTTTGACAACACTTGATGTATCATTTTTTAATACTTGCAGTGCAAATTGGCTTTTCCTTTAAAATTGCTGTTGACCAGATCTGGGAAATTTTCCAAATAGTAGCAGTGATAACAATAATAATAAAAAATTGTTTAAAAGCACCTAAAATGCCATTAATAGAATTT